GTGTTAGTCACACACAGCATTAGCATCCACTATAGTGCAGACGTACAGTAGTGATTTTCATGATTAATGATGATGGAAACTGAACATTATAGACTATCTATTATAGTCAGTGATATCTCTAATTTTAGAATTGCTTCCTGGAGTTGCTAGAAATGTGTTTCTGAGACATCTGATGATGAGAAGGCTTTGTTGATTTTGTCTGTTTTTGCAGCATTAGCTCAATGCTTTTGAATCTGCAGGTACTGGATGCTCTGTTGAACAATCTTCAGGAGACTTTAGAGCTGGCCACTTCTAGAGGAGAGGGAGCAGGACCTGAGAGCAAGGTACCAGCTAAATGTGCTTTACTTTTTGATGCCTTTAGGCAGCATTATCTTCTGTTAGTAAAAACTGGAATATTGTGAAGTATTATGACAATGGAAAATAGCTGTTTTCTACTTTAAAATATATTTGACAATGTAACATATTTCTGTGATTGCAAAGCTCAGATTTCTGAATTATTACTCCAGTGACAGTCTTCACTCCTTCGCTCCTTCATTCTAATATGCTGATTTGGTGCTCAAGAAACATTTCTTATTGTTATCAATGTTAAAATAGTTGTGCTGTGTAATGTTTTTTTGGAAACTGTGATTAAAAAAAAGATCTTACTGACCCAAAATTTTGACCTGTAGTGTATGTTTCACTCTCGCCTTTCATAGCAGGTGAACATACAGGACTTGGTGCCTGCTTTGGTAGCGGCGGAACAGAAAGCGGCATCCTCGCTGCACTGGCGGGGTCATGAGAAACTCCTGCAGTGCTACTCCTGTCTGCCTCGTGTCATCTCCGGAGACCAGATCTACTTCCGCTTCTTTCAGAGAATGTTCAACATCATCACTTCGACTGTAAACTTCTTACACGCACACTCCTCCCTGTACATCCTGTCAATTGTAATTGTGTTTCATCTGTCCTTCTGTTTACGCTGTTCTAGAATGTTCTGCCAGTCCAGCGAGAAGCTGTCAGGACATTATGTGTGTTCTTGCGATATAACCGCAAACAGGAACAGCGGCAAGAGATAATCAGCAAAATAAAGCAAGGTAAAAAAAAAGCAAGATCTGCTTATTTTTGTGAATGAGATTCAGCAATTGTAGTTGGTCAGGACTGTTTTTTTCTTCTGAACTTAAGAGCTTGCTCAAGGTAGAAGCTACTGGAACAGGCTTCGCTATCTGGACCTGTGTGAGATTACAATAGATCTCTTCTCCAAGTCGTATTTTTGCAAACATTTCCTTATTCCAGCGCTTGAGTTGGTCAGTGACCCCGTTGCCAACGTCAGGTGAACAGCTCACATTTTTTTTTACATCTGTTATTGCGTCCTTTTTTACTGTGCCATGAATTTTAATAGTTTATTTTAATGCTTTAAAGTACTGCTGCTTATTGTTTGTTTTATGTATCAAAAAAAAAAAAAAAACAACATTTTGGCAGGTACAAACTCTGTTATATGTTACCCAAACTGAGATCCACCATCAGACCAACAGACAAACATCTACTTCAGCAGCTGGAGTTCTGTGTGCGAAAATTGTTGTGCCGTGAGAAGGATAAAGATGTAGTGGGAACTTTGCGTAAGGTGAGGCTCTCATTACTAATGTGTGGCGGTCACATTAGCAAAAATTGAATGGGCAATAAAAGTCAATTGGCAATAGTGTAGCATTATATTTAGCACAGCTCACTGGGAAGTCACTTTCAAACCAAGCAGCTTTCTATCGGTCAATGCGGCAAATTCATTTGATCAACTTGAATCCGCAAAATCTTTTGAAATTTTAGATTCAGAGTAAAATTTCAGGATTTCAGCAAATGTGACCACCTTATTATATACTGCCCATGTTAAAGGTCCTCTAAGCGATGTTACATGTTTTTTAGCCCAAAACATTTTTTGTCACATACAGCAAACATCTCCTCACTATCCACTAGCTGCCTGTCCCCTGAACACACTGTAAAAAAACGTGGTCTCTGTAGACACCCCAGGCTCCACAACCGGCAACAAAAACAAACAAGGCCGACCCGCACCACCAAACATAACAAACAGTATTCCAGCCAATAACCGACAAAAAGAATTTGGGGGGTTAGTGCGCTGATGGGGAGGAGGGAGGGTCTAGCGAGCCTCCATTTTGTTTGACAATACGTCAACAAGACATCACTTAGAGCACCTTTACATATAATTTCATTAATTAGAAGTAATAAAAAATTTTCAAACTGTATTTTTATGTTTTCTTAGACAGTTCTGGAGCTGGACAAAATGGACATCACAGAGCCGGTATGAAAAGATCTGTGACTTTTACCTTTTCCATTTAGTTGCTCTGACATTTTTTATACACCTCAACACCTTTTCTTTTTTTTAAAAACTAGTGTTGAAATAACTCTTCATATTTATAGTATCATAAAAGGCATGAAAGAGAGCTGTTGGACCAAAAAAAGGAGAAGGAGGAGAATCTTTTACTTGAAATGGTGAGAGATTTACCCTTTTTAAATCCTTTTATGAAGACAAGCTATCCCAGCAAGCAATTTTGCATTTAAAAGATGTCTAATAGCCACATCCAAACACAGCCCAGAAGTCTAAGGTAAGACAAGGCAAAATTTGGGCTGTTCATGAACATTTAATAGATCTTTAAACCCAAGAATAGACTAGTCATTAATTAGATAACAAAGAAATTAAACCAAACACTTTGTACACCTTGCAAAAACAACATGCAACCAAATGCAAAGTTATTTTGGCTAGAAGTTGGTTACTCATAGCCAGACTATATCGGGTCTATAGTTAAACTAGATGCTTGGATGCTAGTTATGGTTTCTTCAGTATGGTTTTGTCAGTTTTAACTCTTGACTGATCCAGCCTGAAAAGCCCATGTATATGCAAAGTCAAGTGTATAATATTTAGAATAAAGACTTTTTTTTTTTTTAATGTTGCTACTGTGTGCAACTTGTGGTTTTGTAACACATAGGAACTGCTAGAAAGACAGCAGAGTGAGGCAAAACTAACTGGAGATAAACAGTCTGAGAAGAAACGTGAGTGACTCTTTTAAACATTGGATGTTTTTCTAGCATACTACTGTAAATCTGCTGTATGAATGCTCTCTTTTTGGTTTGTAATGCAGAACGAGACAGCAAGTCAGGCCTGTCTGGTAGTAAAGGAATGTCAGCATCTACATCAGGAGCAACATCATCCACTTCTACTGGTTAGCATCCTCCTCTGATGCACTATAATGTTAATGGAGTTATTCAAATAAATAGCAGAAACACTTTTTTTAACATATACACTGTTTTTAAAAGTTGATGCATTGAAATGTTAACTTACAGTAAATATGTTTGTTACATTAAAACCACAAAATTACATATAAATGCTGTTCTTTTGAAGTTCCAAGAATCAACAGGACAACTGTTGTACCCATTGATAAGAAATGTTTCTTAAGCACCAAATCAGCATATTAAAATAATTTCTGAATGATCATGTGACCCTGAAGACTAGAGTAATGGATACTGAAAATGTAGCTTTACCATCATGGCAATAAATTACATTTTAATTTTTTTTAATTGTAATATTTTACAGTATTAATGGTTATACTGTATTATTACATACTGTATAATGTACTGATCAAATAAAAGCATCCTTGGTGAGCATAAGAGACTTCCTTCAAAAACAAAGTTAAAAACTTTTGAACGGTAGTGTACATGAACATGCAGGAAATTACAGCAATCATTTTATTTTATGTAACAATACAAAAGACAAAGTAAACAAGGTGCTTTTTTTCCCCAACACTGACAACAATGATAATGTTTTCAGGAAAGGAGATGCGGAGGGCCAAACTAGCTCGCAGTCGTTCACTCAGCGGCCATCCTACGACAACCAAGATGACAAACTCAGACAAAACCTTGTACGTAGCATAATCGTCTTGTGTTGCTATTGCAGTGGGTTACACCAGCTGAGTTGTGTCTGGGTTTAGACATTTTACCATGACCCATCACCAGTAGTTTCATTGATGTACAAATTGTATTTATATTCACAATTTTCTCTTTAGAAAAGTGAAAGATTCAGGAAGTTGCCCTGGATCGGGAAAGAGTCCTATGCTACCATTAAATGGTAACTAATAGTATTTCATCATTTTGAATGACGTATGCTCCTCGCCTTCAAATTTCTGTTTTTTACCTCGTTTGTTTTCCAGACGATAACGTTCGACCGCACCACTTCAATGTTGCTTCTTCAATCTCCTCCACCCCATCATCCTCCTCCATGCCCGTCCTGATCCGCAGCAACACGAGCAGCTCTGTGGATCACCGGAGTAATGGGAATAAAGACACACAGTCTAGGAAGCTCTCTGTGTACGTCTTTTGTGTTCATCCTGTATTTTTTGAAGATCATTATTATTAATCGTATAACATCGTTGGGCATATTATGATTGTAAACTGGAATGATTCAGCCAATGTGAGCTTAATGAGCTTGATGTTGTTTTTTCTGTTTTTGTCTGACAGACAGCGGAAGTCGAATTCATTTGGAATGCAGTCTGGGAGAGAGTGATTACCACTTTGCCTATTGACTTAAAAGCCCCTTTCTATAAGACTTTTCATTCTGCAGCAGCAGCAGCGTCCCTCCATTTTGATGTGTCCATTCTCTTCTTTACCAGAAACAGCTTAAGATGTGCTGGGGCATCATTTAAGGTCTGCATTGATCCATCTATGCCTTATTTCTCACAAAAACTCACACCATACATCATAACATGATAAACCGAGAGTTGAGGAGTAATTGAATGTATTTAATTTACTGCCTCATTATTTTGTTTCTTGTATGATAGCATGCTTTGCAAATTCTCTGTTTTATATTTTTGAAGTGGCTAAGAGAAAAAGAAGCACTATGTATTTTTATGATTGAAGAGTTTTGGAACTCTCCATCACATCCCACCAATGAGATTGTGCCAGGTGCTGCCCAGCACCTGATTGATTAACGCCAACATCTTAGTACCCAATGAATAAAATTCATGTTGAATATGGACGCGCTTTAATGAGTTGTGTTTGAACAGCCTGTTGAAGTGCTGATACAAATACAATACTGATACTGACAAAGCACATTTTCGGGTAACACTAAATCACACTATCAATAGATCTCCTAAATCAACCATTAAAGAAAATACTACACATTTACAGTTATTTTCTTAGTAGACATTGTGTTGTGTCAATATTATAGTGATATTATATTGATATAAATTCAAAGTTGGTTATTCATGCAAAACAATCGGTTAAGATTTGATACAGTCTAGTTTCTTACTGTAAGTATACAAATGGTAGTTTCTGGTCACTGTGATTTTGCCAAGTAAGACATGTTTTGTATGCTGGAACAACAAAATTCGAACCCTATCCCGATCCCTAAAACTAACCCTAGCCATAACTTAACCCTAAAATCAGAGGGAAATAAATGATGGGTAAATAATACTGATGTACAAGCACACGACCATGGCTGTAAGCCTAAACTTGACAAACTGTAAACATGTCCCTCAAATCCGATTGGTCGATTGGAATGTTGTTCCAGAAACATGTACTTGGTAAAAACACATTCACCGGTAGTTTCTTTATGCATGTTTAGCTCTTAGTTGGGTCGACAACACGTCCTATGTAGAGGATGGATTTTGTGGCCTCGTGGTAAACGATGAAAATGAAGGGTCGGTTGAATGTGAGCCTGGGAGGAAGTGGGCTCGTAAGGAGATTAGTGGAGGCATCGGACACTGAGCCTCCAGTCTCATCCACTTCCACGGTGACCTTCTGTATCACCTGGAATCAAGCGGCATTGGTCAGTTCATGCTGGTATATCACTTCTTTTACTACCATTCCATAGAATTGATATGCACAATACATTTCAGAAATAAACCGGAATCATTTAAATAATTATATTAAATTATACAAATACAAAAATGTCAAAGAATTTTAAGATCTTTTTTAGAAAAAGGAATTTATACTTTCAGCAGGGTCATGTGACACTGAGACTGCAGTAATAGCATCTGAAAATTGAGCTTTGTCTTCACAGAAATAAAATACATCAATTCCAAAAGAAAACAGTTCATTTAAACTGTAATAATATTTCACAATATTACTGTTTTACTGTATTTTTGATCAACGCAGCATTGATTAGCATTAAAGACTTATTTCAAAAACATTTAAAAGAATCTTACTAACCCCAAACTTTTGAACAGGAGTGTACAGTGTATATACACACACATACACCCTCCTGGTTATGTCAATACTAGTTAAAATCATGGTTCCATTAATAAATGAATTGACATTGTCTCCTTATATTGTTAGAAAAATCTCACACCTCTGACAGTTTCAGGCTCTCTTCGCTGCTGATTCCAGAGAGATCTGCAGTACTCCCAAAGATCTCTTTAATGCCCAGACTGGGCAGACTCATACTTAGTGAGTTGGACTGCTTCAGTGAAAATCTGGGCAACTGAATCTCCAGCTTCCTGAGGAGAGAGATAAAATTGGTCTTTTGGAGATCAAAAGAAATGTCTTGAAATTGCATGTTTTTACAGAGTAACTGTCAAGCATGTCATATGATTGCTCACTTTGGCTACTCAGCATGAGTTTGATGGAAATTTGAGTCATTTTGAACAAACAAAAAAAAAAACATTGATTTGCGAAAATGTGAGAGACTGATTACATGACTCACGTCTTTTTCAGCTTTGCAACCCATCCGCGGAACACTTCGCCAGTCATGGATTCGTCAACATAGGTGTAGTCCACATCTTCATCTGGAAGGAGGAAAAGCATGGCAATGCCATCCTCACAGGGCAGTTTCAGAATGCCAACCTTTAATGTGGGGTCATAAGCCAGGTAGTATTTCCCAGAATGGAACATCATGGGCACCTGTACAATGTTATACTTGTTCACAAAGAAACGATCCTCTTGGGTGAAGGTAACGTTGAAGGGTTGCAGCCAATAACCTGTCAAAGATCGAGAGGATCATTTTCAAAGTTTATTGCACTGCTCTCTGAAATAATTGAATAGACATTCAGCAGTCAAATGAAGCTGATTGTTTTGTACATTGAAATTAGCGATGCAATGATATGAAAATTTTAGCCGATAACTAATAATTCTTTAAATTAAATTTAAATTCATCCCTAATTGTAATGGACAATTTTTCTTAGCAGAAAATAATATATAACTACTTGGAATGTTAAGATAAAATATAAATTATGACATTAATCGTTTGTTTTCACTTACCTGTGAAAAAAGTTGCACTGATTAACATCGCCATGCTTTGTGGATCTACATTCTTCACCACGTCTTTGACTTTGTCCCCTGTTTTGGTTCTTACATAATTCTCGATAATCGTTTTGACCAGCTCTGCATTGACATAATTCACATTTTGAACCTCTGCATCATAAAACTGCTTAACGTGGTTTCTGAAGCTGTCATTTGCCTTGAAGTCCTGCTTCACAAAGAGGCCAGTGACCTGGATTTGATCAGTCGTCTCCCTCAGCTGCTTGAGTAGGGTCTGAATTCTTTCCGGCTCTCCTTCTTTCTCCATGGAGGCCACACCAATACCCTGTAGCAACTCAGTGCGAGAAGCCCCACCAGCACCGGCTGCTAATGTGGCTAAAGCTAAGGTAGCCGCGAGGGTTGAAACGGCTACATTATCATCACTTGAGCTGGCAATCTTGCTGTAAAGCCGGGTAGCAAAGTCGGCATTCATTCGGGCAAGCTCTTCAACATCTGTGGTTTGACCAAGAACTGACACAGCAAGGACAGCTGCTCTAACCAAGAGGGAGAAGATGTCCATCTTCATGTTGCTATTGTGAAAAACAGGCATTTTTATTTATCATAATAAACAAAAAAATAGCTACATTATATAGGTATCATACAATTAACACTGTAAAGCCTGTCATATGAAATAATAGTCAGAAAAATATTTTTTTTATGTTATTTAAAAACAAATCTAAAAAGGTTTGAATCATATTTGATACATCAAGCTTTTATGGCTCATACAATATGATAGAGTGAGGATAGGGAATATGAAAACACCAGAGGAAAGAAAAAAATATATATTCATAGGCCAGACAGCACAAAATATGCAATTTGGTGCTGAAGTTATATGGCCAAAATGTTAGATACAATTCTGATAGCTTGTAATGTAAATCAATGAGATATTTACAACAATATAGAGTACTACATAAAATCAATTGTCACAATATCTACCAATAATATGTCTTAGTAAGATATTTAAATGCTTAGTTTTATGATGAAAGCTCTGTTTGAGTTTTAATTTTAGGGGGCAAAATAGTGCAATGCAACCGTTTTTCCCTGCTATGTTCTGACCATATTGATCATTTAAAGTGATTAGAAATGTGATGCAGTATGCTATTATGGAGCTAAGAGACAATTATGTAAAATTAATTAAAAAATAAAGTAATATATGAGAGCCCATAGGTCACAACTTGTAAACTAACAACAATTTCCTATTGATTTGTTCATTTATGTCTCAATGGCGTTTTCGTTGTAAAAAATCTCAAGTAACGTTACTGAGATGTTTTTGTGGTTGACATGTAGCTAGCTTACTTTTAAAGGCTGGTAAACATGCAGACATGTCTAAGATTGTAGTAGAGTAACGTTAATCGGTCATAATCTGCAATTTATTGTCATTCTCATCATACAGCTATGCTAAACAAAACAGATTCGTTTAAATTGGATATACAGGATGTGGACATTTTAATTACTAAAGTTCGTTAATAACAGTCGTGATGATTACAAGGCAGTGTGTTGACAGCGCAGTTACTTTAAGGGTTATTTCGCATACTGCGATAACATACAGCAACACTGTTACTAAACATAACAGAAATGTTACATAATGCAATAGTGTTCGAATTCGCGTCCATTAACCTAGATTCTACAGAGAAGCAATCACATAACGTTAAGTAAAAATATGGTGAAGGCCAAAATACTTACAAATGTTTGATTTGACGTCAGTGCCTTCTGTCCTTATTAAATGACTACAGACAGTTCTGTTTTAAAATCATTCACTGCAAACAATGTAGATAAATCGTCTAAACTAACCGTTCACATGATGTCGCCATCAATAACAAACCGAACGTACGGAGATTACGCAACATCCGCCCTTTGCGCATTCTCGATGATGTACGTAGTTACGCATGTCTCACGTTCATCGCACATGAATAACATGGTTACGACCAGAGAGACACCGCTTGATGGCATTGTGGCATCCGAAGCGGGACCAATGTTAAGGCGGACTGAAGAACTCTCACACAATTTACCTGTGTCAGCTGTTGTCGATGCCTCAAAAGAAAAGAAAATGCTGCAGAGCGCAAAAGCATAGACATAATAAATGCATACTACACTCTTATAAAAAAAAAAGGGTTTAATTGGGTTCTATATATGAAGCAGGTTCTTTACTCAACTCCAAAGAACCTTTTATGCTAAAAAAAGGTTCTATAATGACAAGAAAGAACCCTTTTGGCACAAAGGTTCTTTATAGGCTATTCATTCATATGCAACATTTTGTAGTTGTAATTAGGCTATTGTTTATTAAACTGTTGTAGTAACTTAACATCACATTTTAATCATGCTGATTTTTGGAGGAGAACTGAAATGGCACTCTTTGTGTGATATTAACTACATAAAATGATATAAATACATTTTCTAACCCCCATATCCTGAATTTTGTGATCATTCAAATGCATTCATAAATACATTTTAGGGACTTGATATTTGTGAATAATATGAAATATTTAATCTGGAAAGGACAAAAAAATTCCATAGAACCTTTTGCCTGGTTCGTATTATTAGGGATTCCAAAATACATAGCCTAGTGCTTATAGAACTTTTTAAGGTTCTATATAGAACCTTTTCTTCTAAGAGTGTACTTAGCAAGAAAGCCATTTTCCATGCCCCGGAAATGTACATTCTATTAATTAATTAATGACCATTATTGAGTGTTAATGGGATGAACCGAGCAATTGGTTGTAATGTTAATGTAGCTACATCAAGTTAACCTGATTAACTGATCCAAATATTCATAATCAATTATAACAAGTTATGATTGATTAATAATATTTCATAGCGCTAGTTTGCTAAAGTAGCAATTGTGAGAGATAAAGTCACAATTATAAGAATGAAAACACCATGGGTTTAATTCATTGCAAAACAGTGAGATTTATATAAAACATCAGTGCTGCAGTAATGCATTCAGAAGCCACTGTTAGTACCAATAATTTTTCTGGGGAAAAAAAGAAAGAAAAACAAATTCAGCCCCATTGGCTCAGTCCTATGAAAGTCTCCAAAGTAAAATGATTGACTTGTAGTAAAAATGAATAGACCTACAACGAAACAAATAAAGTAAGTGTGAAAGAGAAAAAAGATCCTTGTTGGATCCAAAAAGGCATTTTATAGTTTATGGATGGTAATACCTCCTTAGTAATGGAACAAAGGCCTAATTGAACCCTTTTCAGATTAACTTGAAACGTGATTGTCATGAGGATAAACAAAATAATCTTCATTACAGGGTAGAGGCACAGGGAAGCATGTCTTCCATTACCATCTTTGTTTATAGCCATGTTTACCAGTGTTACCAACATATAAATCCCAATTTACTTTGCTAGTCATCAGTCACAGGAATTTCCCCCTTTTAGAATTGCACATTCGATTTTACATGAAGTGATTGATTGATTATTGGCTGCTGAGTTGATACAAATCAGTCCTGTTCCCCAGCATCTTATAATGCATTTTAGATACTCGTTTCCTTTTGTATGGCACAAGGATTACATTGCAATTGGCTTTATGCATAACTGCACTACTTAAAATTGATTAATCCAGGTGTGCCTGACCTCAGTAGTCACGGCAACAATAATCAGACACACCTGAATTAATCAAGTTCGGCCAATAATTGCAGACAGGAAACAAGGAGCTGGCTTAAGTTCAGGAAGTAGTGCAGCTGTGCATAAAGCCAATTAAGTGCCTTTTCAGCATCCAAAATGAAGTGTTTTTCTGTTACAGTTCATTCTTAATTTTTTCCCTCTTTGTGCAAATCAAGTAAAGAATCAAAGGCTTGCAATGCAGAGCTGGATCTGCCTCTCCAAGGCTGCCATTGTTGAATGGCTGGGTAAGTCTCAATATCCAATGTCTCTAGTTCTACCTGGCGACAGGGATTTCCTTAATGGGCACGATCTCTTGTGCTTGCTGGCTGTTGCTTGGTACATCTATGTTGGGATCATCATCTACCTGGTAGCATTTGCCAAGGTTCTTGATGATGTTAAAGTTATAACGTGCAGTGTCTGCAATGCTGTTCTCCAGAAGCCAGCCATCAGACTCCGAGTCAGGGTCCCCTAACCTTAGCACATTCTCCATGGCTGTTTGAAGATAACGCACTCCTGTCAGGACAGATACCTAGAGAAATGAGGAGGGCAAAAGAAAAGAAAATGACTAGGCTAAAGGTGACCAACCCACATTGGAAAAAAAACATTGTTAATATTAATATAAACCACTTTTTTCAACATTGATAATAAAGGAGCACCAAACCAACATGACCTCATGACTTTTGCGTAAACATACACGCCACTTTCGAGTCAAGTGGCGTGTTATCTCGCATTTTGAGCTATCCTCGTGTATCCGCCTGTCTGTACACGCCGTCAAATGTCCGAGCGAAACGAAGCAAAATGTGGATCTACATCTGGGGAGCGATCTTTTATTTTTTCCTAGGATCATAAATGCCATTAACCCCAGTGATGGGTAAGTTTAGGGACGGGGTTGAGGTAAGTCATATATTTATGTATACAGTAATAACGTTAAGTCAACGGCGTTCATAAACACGCTGAAAAGCGATTATGCGTGTTGATAGCACGTCAAAAATGGAAATACGATTAATGATACATTATAAAGTAATAAATAGAAAAAAGTTTTTTAAATTGTAATATTATTTCACAGTGGTACTGCTTGAACCGTATCTTTTATTCAATTATTCCAAATAAATTATTCCCAACTTCTGACCAGTTGTGTAGCTACAGAATGTGGACTTTAATTTTGTCAGATTAATATCACACACCTCAAAAAGCCAAATGATGAGAACGATTAAGCCAATGGACTGCATTATCTGTGTGTAATGCTCAAGCAGAGCCTGTCTGCAACCCCTTCGGTTCAGGTTCAGCTCCTCCTTCTGATAGTCATAATGATAGTGCGCTGAGTTGTTGGTGATTTGATGCTGAATACAGGGCCGAGGAGAATGCAGACCACAGCAGCTGAACGGCACTCCGTCGATGAGAAACTTCCCCTCCACGTTACTCCGCAGCCGCCTAAAGAAGAGAAGAGTGCGTTAAATAATGTTTGGAGGCATACACAGATGTTTGATGATAAAAGTTGATTCATTGCTCTGAAATATTAGGGTGCATTTAAATCCATAAAATCCTCAGCTTTATTTCAACTTTAACTTCAACTTCAACTAGCATCATCTGTTAAAGGGCTAGTTAAACCAAAATGAAAATTACAGATGTCATCATTTATTCACCCAAATGTTGTTCCAAACCTGTATGAGTTTTCCTTCATATTTGGAAATGGGGTTCAATGTTATTTTGGACACCACAACCTTTTATTGTAGAGACAAAGACAGTCAAAACATTCTTTAATTTTGTGTTCTGCGGAGAAAAGAAAGACATACAGGTTTGGAATTGCATGAAGGTGATTAATGATATCAGAATTGTCATTGTTGAGTGAACAATGCCTTTAACCCCTTAACATGATTGACTAAATTGACTTACTCCACCACTTCGCTATTGGTCATATCCAGGTAGCGGTTACTAATCCACTGAATGTGAAACCAGTCCCGATGCCCTCCATTTCCGCAGCACTGAAAGTACATTTGCAGCATGTCCATTGTGCGTTTAATGTAGCAGCGACCCGGCGTGTCCGTGTCCTTATAATAGCGCATGGCGTCACGAAGGCCTAAAAACAGCGACTCTTCTAGATCGTTGCGCATGCTATAGCACATCAGGGCGCCCACGAGGATGCAGAACGTAAAGAAAAAGGTACATATGATGTAAGGCAGCATCAGCAACTTCCATCGCAGGAACTTGGTGGTGTCCACACAGTCATAGCAGATTTTGCCCCCCAGGAAGTTGATCGCACAGGCAGTCAGGCCAACACATATAAGCATGTTTGGCACAGAGTCGATCTCTTTTGACATCAGCTCCCGCCTCTTCTCGATCTCCACCTTTAAGAATAAGCCCAGGCTGAAGAGTGTGACTCCCGTGACCACAGACACCCAATTTAGCACCCATAAAACCTGGGCCAGTTTGTCTCTGTTTGTCTTTGTAAATGTCACTTTTAAAACTGCCATTGTCAATGGAAGGTGTTACTTTTACCGTCTCAGCAGTAAATCTTTACGTCCATGTATGTGTGAAGCTTTTTATTTACATTGATATAACGTACTGGGTAAATGTGAGAGAACGGGTGACATGTTCCACCGGGGGGAGGGGAGTGAACTGGGAGAGAAGGCCAAGAAGATCACATAAGCAGCTTAGTGTAGGTATTTTTACACTCCTGGATGACGGCCTTGGCTGCACAATAGTGCAGGTACTGAAATCAAGATGAAAATTAAGAAATTAATGCACAGACACTTTACATATTAAAATGGCTCAAATCACATTTAATATATATATATATAGCCTAGTATATATCTAGATATTCATATATATCAACATTATATATATACTAATTTTGTGATACCATATTCTTGTAAATACTAAATGGATTATAGTTTAATGTAGTGCAAGCTTATTGTTCAGTAAGTTTATAAACTGCATATTGAAAATGACTATTTAATTACAGCTTAAATTCAGTAGCTACTCGATAAACAATTTCGAGAGATAGATATTGTAAAAGAACATTAAAAAATAATAATAGCCTGAATAATAGCTAATGTCTTTTTCAGTTGAATTTCCACATCCCTATCCTCTTTTACATAACCTACCTGCTCAGATCTCACATAGTTGCACAAGGGCTTGTAATCCATGGATCTTGATTGTAGGTGCTGTCATATTCCTTTTTTTTTTTTGCATATTTCTGGTAAGGGAGTACAAAAGAGGTGAGAAGCGCGTTTAGAATGACTTCTGTCCAGACTCACTTTGACCTCCACCTAATCCATTTATCCCTAGGATTTAACAGAACACCTCCAAGCCATCTGGGCCAATCCCAAGTGAATAAAATCACTGCTTCCACACACCCCCATGCTTTCAATAATAAATAATAATATACAGTGTGTAGATCTATTTATTGTATGTGAAATAACCCCCACTAACACAAAACATGGGTCAGTTCAAGGACAAACACCCTAAAATGTTTAGATTTGGGGTAAATATTCAGACTGGTATTTGTCAGTAGCTATAGGCTACTGTTTTTGACATGCAGCCTATAGCAAAGGTTAGGCTATGTAAAAGATTTGGAAAAATGAGTGTTGGTCAGCTTAGAGATAAAATGAAGTTGTAGAACGTAAGAATGATGCTAAACATATCTGACAGCAGGTATTACAGTATATGAATCTGATTCAATTTCCTCCTAATGTCTATAAAATGTATAAAATAAAATGTCAGAAGTAATGTCCAGTGCTGAACTGAATATTGAATATTGTTTTCATTTTGCAGCGTTCGATATTTTTCATATCTAAACTATGTTTGTTAACATTAAATATTTTATAGCTTAGTCAACGATGACAACACTTCAATCAAAAGTAAAAAGTGCAGTCTGCAGGCATGCAGTGGTGACATTAGTCGTCCAATAATGATGCCGACATTCACTGTCATGCGCAATAGCACAATGCATGCAGTCGCGGGACGATGGCCGTCGACAATTTTCTCTTTGGCCAGTGCATCCTTTATTTTTTAGCATTTATTTTCGGGTTTATCGCCGTTGTGCCTCTATCTGAAAACGGCGATGACTTTCAGGGGAAATGCCTGCTGTTTACTGAGGGAATGTGGCAAAACGAGAACATGACGGTGGGGAAACAGCGCTTTATAGTTGAAGAATGGGGACCAGAGTCGTCCTGCCGCTTCATCACTTTCGTGGGCATCGTGTCTCTCATCCTCTCAGCCGTACAGGCGTGGCGGACCTTTTTCTTTCTCTGCAAAGGCCACGAATAGTAAGCCCTTCCATCAAATTGATTATTAAATCACACCAACGTTTCAAGTTGTAAATGATGTTAATTTCTGTCCGCATCTCTTTGCAGCTCTCTTTTTCATGCCTTCTTGAATCTTCTCCTGTCCCTCTTGGTGGTTTTTATAGTGTTTGTGGCCGGTACTATCTCCAGTGTTGGCTTCAGTGAATGGTGTGACGCTGTCACTGAAAATGGGGCCATGCCGAGCAGGTAAAATGGTTTTTAACCATATTGATATTTAGAATTAAGCAATTGCACACATTCAGTAACGTTACTGCACTGCATTTATTTACTGGCTGACTGTCTACAATTTGTCTGTGTACTGTATATAAGATATAAAATAAATATTGGCATGGCTGTGATTGTAAATACTTCCAAAATATAGTCACTTTTTGTATTACTTCTGCTTTAAATTTGGTTAATTTCTCTTTGGCAGTTGTGAGGATATGCAAGACACAGATTTAGAGCTCGGTGTTGACAACTCCTCCTTTTATGACCAGTTTGCCATTGCACAGGTAAACATTCATCCACAAGTAATATAAATTACAGTCACAAACTGAGCTTTGACAGTATGTATTTTAGTAAATATTTAAATATTTTCTTTTTTCCACAGTTTGGCCTGTGGTCAGCCTGGTTATGCTGGCTGGGTCTAACAGTGATAGCCTTCCTGAAGGTTTACCATAACCACCGACAACAGGAACTGCTAGACAGTCTAGTTCAAGAGAAGGAGCTCTTGCTTGGTCATCCTTTGCAGAGGGGTTCTTATATGTACAACAGGAATGCCATGATTTAAACATATTGTACATATCTCACTTAGTACATTTACAATGCATGATCTAGTTTCTGAAAGCAGAATTAATCCATCAAGATAAAATGTATTTTTACATTTATAAATAAAACATCTATCAAACATTAGATGAGTCTTAGTTATTAGATTATTTAACTCAAATTATGTTCATTAAATAAATGCTCATGGAACGCAAGGCTGAATCCAGAGTTATTTTTTTTTCCACTGTTGTTGTTTAGACAGAACCCTGACATAATTCTCTTCAACCTGTTCATGGAATTATCCCATGTTCACATTCACTCTTATTTTTACAGCATAGGACATAAGACTGGCTGTGAGATATTGTGTTGTATCTCATGCATTAGGAGACTCAGTAAAGCGTAAATAATGAGATGTCATCGCTTTACAAGTTCACTCAGTTGTGAAATGTGAAGTCGACTGCAAATAGAAACTGTACTGCCTTTACTGTACATGGGAATATAATCAGAAATAAATTTGAATAATGGATCTTAATACAGCTTTATTCTTTATGGGACCAGAGTTTATCCTCACTTTTATACAGTCTTTTGCCTGTAGACAACACACACTAGATTGACAAAATATTTGATTGCTTCCTTATTATTGCTGGTCCCTTACATTATAACTTATTTTAAAAATGGGAAACCTAAAATGTATTGTGTTATACTGTTTTGAAATGCAACAGTATTTTATCCGTGGTGATTAATGCAACGGAATTTTACCCGTGCTGATTATTAGGTTCTCAGATACCCGTCTTATAGAAGCTCAAACCCCTTAAATAATAATCAGCAAAACTATTTATTATTTTTATTCTGTTTAATGTGTAAATCTTAAGCTGTTTTGTCTTCAAGGCATGTGCTCATGCAACTTACCTTTCATCACAGCATTATGGATTTGCAGTTTCATAGTCTCTATCTCCACCAAGTGGCTGAAAAAAAAATTGCTACACATACAGCTAAAGGAACAAAACAGCCCTATTTTGACGCATCTCGATTTTCTCATTTCATTCTCGGTCATACATTTAGAATGATTCATTCAGCAGACACCTAAACAATTTAGAAGTGAAAACTACATTACTAGTATTTTTCTTACTACCTGTCATGATATTGAAGAAACCTATTTTAAAACCGGAATGAATTTCTATGATCCGAGAAACACCAGAATAAAAAAATAATAATAAAAAGGGGGATTATAAAGATAATATACATTTTTTGAATACATTTTTTTTTATTCAAAAAGGTTGAGAACAAAATTTGTAGCAAACATTATATAACAAAATGAAAATCTATTTTTCATACTGTACATCATAAATGTTGTGATGTCTAAAATAACCTTTAGCATTTAAAACAGATCAGTTTTTTTTACTTTTATATGGACAAAATTGCATTTTTTAAAAAAACATTTTAACATTGGCAATGTGTTGGTTATACTGTACAACATTTTTATCAGATGTGTCATTATGTTGTCATAAAAAAAAAATATACTGCAGTTTTTTTTTAATGAAGTTGTGTAATTTCTTGCATGAATTGACTGTTGTTTTTAATGTTTAATTGTTAAGTGCAATGGTGGCAAATTAGTTTCCCTTATGGTGATCAATAAAGTTTTCTAATCTAATCTAAAGCTACATACATACATACAATATACATACAGTATATTTTATTACTTTGAAATGCACGTTTCCTCTTTAGTCTATAAGTTCTGAACAAACTTGCGACAAATGATTATGTGAAGTTGACAGTTTTCAAAGAACATGGATTGTCGGTAACAAACTGGATATTTAATTTACACAGGAAAGAGCAGTTTTGATACAGATCTGTCACAGAGGCTAAAAATGTCACTGGTCCTCTCAGAGAATAAGAATGTGGAGGAGCGATGGTTCAGTTCAGTACAGACAGCATTCCACTTATCTCCCTCCCATTTCTCTATACTGGCCTAAAGATGACTTCATAGATAGCATTTGTGTTATCTGAGACCAGTTTTTACCAGTTTGCTGTTTCCTGATATAACATGGTTGCTTAGCAGCCAAATAAACCTATACAAATGTTATAGGCCGTGACTGTTTCCTATACAGTTTATAGCATGATTTCATTTCAAGGTTCATTGAACTATGTGGGTTAATCTTATTGGAGATTGAAGATATTCCACATTACAGTATGCACTTTAGGCAAAATACTTGGCCTGCAAACAACTCATTCCCGTGAGCCTTCAAAAAACAAACAACACAATGCGATCTGATGCTACCACCCGAACTAGCTCTACTTCAGAAGAAAGCTTGCTTTTTGAAAAAAATGGTTATATAGAAACTTAAAGGGTTCTGTCAGGCACTTTAAATAGAACATATAGGGGTCCCATCATGGGATTATTTTATGGATTTAGTTCATTCATTTAGTTTTAATTGTAATTTTATAACATTTTATGAAATTAAACCATTTAGAAGCATACATTTACAATAGAAAAAAAATAACTCATTAAATATGAAAGTATTACGCAGTAATTTAAGACATTTCTACTTTTTGACATGCAAGGCTTCTTTAAAAATCAAGAACCCTAACCACCTTGCTTCTGTAAGAGTGGAACATCACTGTGTGCTTCAGTTACTTTTTTTTTACTTTTTTTTTAGTTAATTTCTTCTAAGACTGTTTATATTAAAGATTTTGTAGCTTCATAGAACTCATTGTTTAATCATATTTTAGATTGTGAATTGATGTATTTATACTTACGTTGCTGACGTGACACATTTAGTATGATTTAAAAATGCCCTCTTATACATTGCCCTCCATCACCTCTCTGAACGCAGAGGAATGTTAGAAGTTAGGCTAGTTTCACTGTGACTTCAGAGAACAGGTCTTCTGTGTCAACAACAGTCTCTGATTAGACTTTGCAAAGGTAAAAGATGACAGCTTTACAAGTATATCCTGTAGAATGGCATTCATGTCTTTTTGAATCCAGAGTGAATCTTTTCTTAAAGAATACAGTGACATCAGTTTTACATTTTTAGAGTCTTCAACATTAAAGCGATTGTTATTTTAAGTCTATTCATATTTCTCAATTCAACATTTTTGTACTATCATATTGAATTTTTTCTCTTATTTACAATATGA